ATAAATATAATAAATAAAATAAATATAATAAATAAAATAAATATAATAAATAAAAATATATATACTTAAAAAAATATAAACAAATTTATAATACGAAGATAAAGGTAAAAGAATAAGAAATACTTATAAAAATGAGCAACAAAAAATATATAAATATTAAATTTAAAAAAGTAATTAAAAAAAAAAAATAGAAATATTTAATAAGAAAAATAAAATAAAATAAAAATGTTGAATTAAATCAATAATAAAAATAATACAAAATAAAAAGTACTATATTCAAAGAAAATAGGAAACAAGATATAAACACAACATATTAAAAAAAATATGAAAAAATAAAAAATAAAAATAGAAAATGTAAATAAAAAATTTAAATAAAAAAAGTAAATAAAACATTAAAATAAAGTATGAAAATTAAGAATTAAAATAAAAGAAAGTAAATGAAATAAAGTTTAATCAATTTACTGATCAGAGCATAAGGAGAATAATTGTATTTTTACTATCTAAGAACTTGACATAAAGCTCGAATGAATATATGTACATATTTGACGTAAAAAGTGTAAGTCATTGGAGACTCTGCACACTTAACATAAAAATCGCCTGCGTCCTGTGGATACAATTATAATTTCATGTGCTGTGGCATGTGAAAATATTTACATAGCTCGACACTTGTCGTGGCACGCGATAATTACAGTAATTTATATGCTCATCCGGGGAATAATTATTGTCGCTCTGACGTGTCGTGTCTTGTCTTGGCCATGTTCAGCGCATCAGATAGCGCGAGCCCAGTGGAGTGACACTGAGTGTCAGTTGGCCAGGATGTGGCTTCAGTTTCATGGAGATGTCTCGGCTGAAGAGGGCTTTTCGCAAGACGCTCGTCGAGTTCTTCAAGAAGACGAGCCTGAACGGCTTCGGCTTGCTCTACTTTATTCGCCGGCGGCCGTATCAGCGGCTCTTCTGGTTTCTCTTCATAGCCACGGGCATTGCGTCGGCCACATTTGTGGTCTGTACGACGCTGCTGCAGTTCCTGGCCAGGCCCACAGTCATTTCCTTGTCCGAGGCGAGCTTCGAGTCGGCGGAGTCGTTGCCGTTTCCTGCTCTAAGCATTTGCAGTGCGAACAAGCTGAGTCGGCAGCGCCTGGAGGCATTCGCCGAGCAGCTGGCCTTGACTAGCGGAAAGTCTAAGGCGGATTGGCTTAAACAGCTGCAGCTGCTCGCCGGCTACTTTTATCCTTTGGCCGTTTCAGCTACGGCAGCGGCTGAGCTGCAGGCCTCCCTGGCAGCTCGCTGGCCTCTGGATGTGCGCTCGCAGCTGCTGCACCTGTCGCCCAGCTGTGAGAGCTTGCTGCTCAGCTGCCACGTGGATGGAGTTGCCAGCAATTGCTCCGAGCTCTTTCGGCTGACGCCCAGCCTCGAGGGCTGCTGCTGTCTCCTGCAGCGCACCGACCGCATCTCAGCTGCGCTGACACTGCGTTTGAATGCCTCCCACGCAGATGACTTCCATATGCCGCGTCCTGGCTTCAGCTCTGCCTTCAGCCTGCATCTGCCGGGCTGGCGGGGCCGAGCCACGCTCGCACCTGGCGAGGCCTCCGCGCTGCATTTGCGTCCGCTCCACTTGAAAGCCGATGCCCAGCTACGTGACTATCCCTTGGCCCAGCGCGGCTGTCATTTTCCCGACGAGGCTGAGCACCTGGTGCAGTGCTTGCCCCAGTGCCGCCTACGCAGCACCGTTGCTGCCTGCAACTGCTCGCCGTTTGTCTACGACCTGGCCTCGGCCGCTGGTCAGCTGGAGAACGTGAGCTACTGTAATTTGGCACAGACGGCATGCCTGCAGTCGGTGGAGGGTAAGCAGTCATAAAGGGTCTCATAACAGAGAGCTAACATTATGCTAGCAGACCGGGTTTATGGTCAATAAGAGAGGTTTTATTATGGCAATGAGCGAAAGTCTTTAAATGTGGGCATTGTAGTTGGCCATGTGTGGAGTTGTTAGTGAGGCAGAGGCTGACGTTGGCTGAGGAATAGTTCTTAATTAGGTATGTAGAGAGAGACTAGTTAGCAGTTGAGCCTAACTACAGCTATTTCCATTCGTCTGTTGGCCACAAACAGCTTAGATAGTAGCTGGCATATGGCGCTCTATATTTCGTCTATTTTCCTTTACCAGGCAAAATATCTAGGCAGACTTGAAAGAGTATAATATATAGTATAAGTACTATATAGTACAATAGTATTAATATAGTATATTATGTTATAGAAAATGTACAAATTTATGAAAATGCGAATCTACTGATGAGAAGGAATATCTATTGAATAGAGTACTAGAAATAATATTAGCTTTCTATCTGACACACATACCTTCTATCAGATGCTATATGATTCATCAAATCTCAAATCTATTTTTGGCAAAAACGGCCTGATTTTATATATAATCAAGATTTTATATAACACACTAATCAGAAGGTGATTTATATTAAGTAAAACATAATGTACCAATATGAGCATTGTTAACTCGAGTACGTTTTTTCTGGCACTCATGCAGCCCTCTAGTATATAATATTTACCTAGACTCTAAGGTCTGTAAAGGGAATAAACCTAAAAGGACATTAAGTAATATGGACTAAAATCCTGAGCTATAAATTCACAATGCCAAATTAAATTATACCTTAGCATATATGAAATCTACCTAATCCAGTTCATTCTAACATTTACAAATTAACATAATTAAAATTGCATATGCTGTATAACAGTGCAGCTAACTGTAAGCAGTTCTATTAACAGACACAAATTTTGCGAGTCAATTAGGGGCTTTGCCTTTAGTTATTCCTGCTTAATTAGCTACAAATGTCAGCTCTCAAGAGCCTTGAGCTTTCCCCTCTCTCTCTCCCTCTCTCCCTCACTCCTCTGTCTCCCTCCCACAGCCAGCTGGTCGCCTTGGAGCTGTGAGGAATGCCTGCCCGCTTGCAATGATTGGCGCTATGAGCTGCGCAAGAGTCTGACGGGCTACGTGGACCCATTGGAGAGTACAGTGAGCATTGGCTATGATGGACCGCGTGTGCCGGTTTACAAGCAGGACGGACTCTACAAGTGGTACCAGCTGCTGTGTGAGTTGCCATCGACTCGTCTTAGCCTGAGCATCGCCCAATTGAATATCAAATTCCGTTTAGCTAACGTCGGGGGCGTGCTTAGCGTTTGCATTGGCTGCTCGTTCATTAGCGGCGTGGAGCTGGTCTACTTTATGGTGTATCGACTGTGGTACAACTGGCGGCAATTAGGCGGGTGATTTGTGCACTCGCTTTCTCTCTCTATCTTCTGGTATCCACGTTTAATAAATATCACGCATACGCCATGTGCGACAGCAAATGAAATTAGTTTTGATTTATTTTGAGCCTTGGTCACAGCGTCGCCTCGCACTCAATAAGGATGTCTATCTACATTCATCTAGCTGACACGCCACGCCCACTCGCTCACAGCTGGGCTGAGGAAGGCTACTCGAAGCGCAAAGCAAATCGAAACGAGCGACTGCTCTATTGATGGCCTCTTGCGAAATGAAAGATAAATGTGACTGACATATTATATATATGTATGCATGTATATATATATATATATGTGTGTATACATTCCGGATCAGCATCAAGGTTAAGTCGTCTAAGGCAAACACTTTAAAACGCGCTCGAAAGGTCACTTAATGTCCAATAGATATATGTATATATGTATGTACATATATATATGACTCTGACTGTGGCTTACGGATGCGGATGGAATGTGTGTCGGGGCTTAAGCACATAAATCGATAGCTCCTCTTTTGTTCTCTCAGGTGGCTCATGACCTGTGAATAGCTGATTTTTATTGCCCTGTCCATTGGGGATTACGAATGCAGTTTCATCCCAAGTTATGAAACGAATGAAAAAGGGGGAAAAATTCAAGAGACAAATTTATTAAATAAAAGTAGAGAAACTTGAAAAAATTTTAAATAACATACAAAAATAAATAAATGTTAAAAAGGAAAAAAAAATCTAAAAAATAAAAAATAAATAAATGTTAAAGAGGAAAAAAAATCTAAAAAATAAAAAATAAATAAATAATAAAACAAATAAATACTAAAAAATAAATAATAGAAAAATAATAATAAAAAAATAAATAACACTATAAAAATTTAAAAAACACATAATAAAAAATAAATAACACTATAAAAATATAAAAAAAAACATAATAAAAAATAAATAATAAAAAAATAAATAATAAAAAAATAAATAATAAAAAAAAAATAATAAAAAATTAATAAATAAAATAATAAATAAATAAAAAAAATAAATGAATAAATAATATAGAAAAATAAGAAAAAGTAAAAAAATAATATAAACAAAATAATACAAAATAATTAAATACTTTAATGAAATAATAATTATTAATCTGTTTTTGCCTTCACTCGTACAACAAAAATTATCTACATTAAATAAAAAAAAAAAAAACTTTTGTAAGAAATGTTTTATGCTTTCCTTGACTCAGATCATATTGCCTATAATTTTCTTGAAATATGTTTATGCATTAAACATATACCTTATAATATATTTCCCAATAAACTTTGCCATAAAATTTATTTTTAAGTTTTTAAATTGTGTCTACAGTAAATATATTACATACATATCTCATAACAGCTGCTTTATTTCATTGACTTTCATAGTTTATAAGTTAAATGTGCAATAATTAAATTTTCATACGCATTTCTCTATTTCTTTCTCATTGCAGGTGAGTTTTCCCAGGGCCTTGCCAAATGCATTTAAATTATAAGTCTAACAGTTATGGGTAAGTCAAACGTATTTCATATTCAAATGCCTAACAGCTGCTGTTTAAGCGCTGTTAACTAAAAGCTGCGAAAGCTTGCAAGCGTAAGCTTTGGCAACAGGGTGCATTGGGCACCACCAGCACTGAAAGCTTTTGGGAAAGCTTTCTTGCTCATGGGGCTTAACTAAGTCTTATGGGTTTCGCAAATAAATTATGCTAAATCAATTTAATATAAAATGCGTGCGAGCACTTGAGCCATGTCAAGTGTATATATTTATATATAATACATACATACATACATACATACATATATATTTATATGTATCATTTATAATGGCGTCCACACATCATGGCAAATCATTGTTGCACAGAATTGCAAGTTAAGCATTTGTGCTTTAATGGCATGCCCAACCACGCCCATTTGCCGCCTACGCCTCGTAGGTCGGGAGCTCTGTAACGCTTCGAACAATGCCAACATCTCCATTAATTTTAAATACCGTCAACTTATCAGGCCGCGTCATGGCCCTAAGTGATTTCTTGCTTCTTGATTTAGCGCTCAATTCTTATGTGCGAGGGTGACTCAAGCAGTTGCTAATGAGTGAAAGGGAGGGAATTGTGAATGGAACAGACGAATTTTGACAAAGAAGAGCAGAGAGTGGATCAGACTGGAGTAGAATCTTGGACACTAATGAACAGTACTGTAGATTTGTGGAGACTCATGGAGAGTAGTGTAAACTATTGACGAGTACTGGAGTTTAATGTATGGAGAAGTGGAGACTATTGGAACGTAGTGGAAACTATTATAGAGTAGTAGCGACTAATTTAGATCATTGGAGAGTAGCGGAGACTGGTGTAAACTGTTGTAGAGTTGTAGAGCCTAATGGAGACTATTGGAGGGCAGTTTAGACTAGTGGAACTATTGGAGAGTAGTGGAGATTAGTGGAAACTATTGGAGAGTAGTAGCGATTAGTGGAAACTCTTGGAGAGTAGTATAGCATAATCTGGGCAAAAGTAGAGGCAGTGAAAACTGTTGGAGATTATTAGACCCTTGCGAAGATTATTAGCAGTGGAGCGTAGGAGAGCAGTAGAGACTAATGGAGTACTAGATGAGACTAATAGAGACTATTGGAAACTAATATAAAGCAATAGATTTAATTTAGTCTCAATTTTCTCACACAATCGAGATTATACGATTATAGGCTAGCCTAAGCTACTTTTATATTGTATTTTAATACTTGCACAGTCTTTCGTCAAAAATCTTAGACTCTGTAATATTTTAGTCAAATTTTGCTCCCTTTGTCAACTTCAAGTTTTTACTTCTGTGTTTTCCACCTCCATTTCATTTTCGTCTAGCTTAACTTATCCTCCCTTAATTACATACTATTTCCATCTGTTCCACTCTCTTGTATTTCACATTATGTGGCAAATTAAAACTAATTCGAATAACTCCACCGCTAAACCTCGTGTCCATTATTATGCTAAGCCAATTAATAGTGTAAGCCGCGTTCAGCTGCCCTTCGTTTAATTGACAAGCGACCCTCGTATTTTGGGGCTCTTCATAGTCTATAGATATATATATAGAGAGAGAGAGGGGCGGGGAGCTGTACAATATCTATGGGCAAACATAAAGAGACGCATTCCCATTTGTGGCCAAAAGCAGGCAAGGACATGCGGCTGGCGTGCTCTTTTGTTGCATGCACACATGCCCTTCACCTTGCCACGCACACACACAAACACACACACACGCACACAGATATATAAATAACATAGTTTGGGGGGCTCTGGCATGCCTGGCTCTCTACAGCATTTTTTGGCCAACTGTTCTTTAATCAAAGCCATTCCACTAAATTATGGCCACGTTTAAAAAGCTGGCTAGCTGACTGGCTAACGGTCTAACGGGCTAACTGGCTAAATGGCTGAGCTCTGCCTGGCTGGCTGCTTTGCTAATTCGCTGTGGCATTCCTGAAGGCTGAAGGCTTCAAGGCTTCAAGGCTAACGCCAACACGTACTCAGGATGCGTTGCACACACACTCAGCTGATACTCTCTTCTCTCTGTCTCTCTGTCTCTCTCTCTCTCTCTCTCTCTCTCTCTCTCTCTCTCTCTCTCTTCCTGATTTGCATAATTCTAATACGACATTTTTGGGGCTCCTTTTGCTGGCAGTTTCATTGCCCTCACATGCCACACATGCGATTTGCATAAATAAATTTGTAGTGTCCTTTGACATGCTTGCCAAGAGAGTGAAGCGAGTATATTGGCTTGGACTCTTACACAGTTTATGTGCTTGTAAATTTCTTACTTGAATTCTTCAGTAATATTCATAATGATTTCCCATTTTCAATGGGTTCAGAGTATAACA